ATATTATATATATATATACACACACACACACACACTCTGGAGGAAATAATTAAGAACAAATTCAAGCCTTGAGTTACAATACTTAGGAATGCTATTGAAAAATTATTGAATTATTGAATGATCTAGGAAATATCAACAGAAGATGGAAAGAGTGCACAGAGTCACTGTGCAAAAAAAATTGACACAGAAGAATTTCATGAAACAACCTATGTTCAAGAGGCAATGGTGATGAAGGAGGAAGTTCAAGCTGCTTTGAAAGAATTGGCAAAAATAAAGCCCCAGGAATTGATAAAATACCAATTGACATATTTCAACAAACAGATGCAGTCCTGGAAGTGCTCACCAGGCTTTGCCAAGAAATCTGGAGGACAACTTCCTGGCCCACTGACTGGAAGAGGCCTATATTTGTTTCCATTCTAAGAAATGGTGACCCAACAGAGTAGAGAGATTACCCAGTGATGTCACTAGTATCACATGCTAGCAAAATCCTGCTGAAGATTATCCAAAGACAACTGGAATAGTACATCAACAGAGAATTACCAGAAATATAAGTCAGGTTTAAAGAGGCCATGGCACTTGGGATATCATCGCCAGTGTCAGATGGATCTTGGCCCAAACAGAAAGCACCAGAGGAATGTCTGTGTTTTGTCAACTATGCAAAGGCATTCGACTGTATGAATCACAACAAATTATGGCTAACTTTAAAAAGAATGGGAATATCAGAACACTGGACTATATTCATGTGAAACCTATATTTAGTCCAGGAGGTAGTCATCAGAACAGAGCAAGGAAGTACTGTATGATTCAAAATCAGGAAATCAGGGATGTGTCCTATCTCCCTACCTTTTCAATCTATATGCAGAACACATCACTCACGAAGCTGGACTTTATGAGGAGGAATGTGGCATCAAAATTGGATGAAGGCTCATCAACAACCCAGGTTATGCAGATGATACAACTTGCTTGCCAAGACTAAGGAGGGCCTGAAGTATTTGCTACAGAAGGTCAGGGACTGTAGTCTCCAGTATGGATTGAAAATCAATGTCAAGAAAACAAAGATTCTCACCATTGGGCCAATTTACAGCAGCAAGATGTATAGAGAAGAGATTTAGATTGTTAGCAATTTCAGCTTGCTCAGTAATCAACACTCTTGACACCAGCAGTCAAAAAAATCAAAAGATGAACTGTATTAGGAAAATCTGCTGTCAAGAACTTCTCCAGATTGCTGAAGAGCAACAATGTCAGTCTGGAGGCTAAGGTGCACCTGATTCAGGCCATGGTCTTCGTAATCCCTTACTATGTATCAGACAGCTGGGCAATGACCAAAGATGACAGAAGAATTGATGCCATTGAACTGTGGTTCTAGAGAAGAGTATTGAACAAACCATGGACTGCCAAGAGATATAACAGATGTCTTCAAGAGTGTGAAATCAAGCTGTTGCTTGGAGGCAAGGATTATGAGACTTCATCTGACATATTTTGGGCATGTTTGCCAGGAGGGACCAGTCCTCAGAGAAGGATATTGCGCTTGGAAGGGTGGAGGGACAGACCTTAAATGAGATAAATTGACACAGTAACTGGGGTATGGGGGTTGTGTCAGAATGAGTGAGACTACATCAGGACAGGGAAGACGTAACAGAGACAATGGGATTGGCTCAGAATAAAGCAGCACAGGGTCATAATGAGTTGTAATTAATAGCACTATATATATATATATATACACACACACATATACACACATATGTAATAGGTGTATATAAACACATATATGTATATGTGTGTATATATGGGGGTATACGTGTATATGTATTTACAATCAGCAATAGGAAAATAGTGAAATAAATGACGTGCATCG